CATATTGGTGTACCACGGATGTACGTACACCAACATGGCGTTTTCTTACTGGACTCTGTAAATTTCTGGGAAACATTTGCGACGAATATCTGAAGTTTGCGGAAACGCACAGGCCTAAAACTTGGGGAAGTGTCTTATTTAGTTATCTTCTACAGCTTACATCACAATTTCTTAGCTTTTTCCATTGGTTGGTTTTGAATTTTTTTTTTTTTTTTTTTATTGCGTGACAGTGAAAACGATCTGTACCCTTCAAAGAACAAAACAGCAACTGTAGAATATTTTTTTTGCAAAATGATAAAATATGTTTTTTAGTTCATTATTTTTGTACATGTTCTCACCTTCCTCTGATATAAATCCATGCCATTCCTTATTTTTTGATCGGGATCATTTGCGGTCCGGAATCATTTGTGGTCCTGAGATCATTTGCGGACCCGTACAGACTCCCCATCGAAACTCTTGAAAGAAGCACTAAGGTCCTGTTTTGTGGGCGTGACCTGAAATTTTTTTCACCCCTGAGAGATACCAACTCTAAAACAACTCATGCGGCTCAACTGGCCCTAAATGGTACCGCAAAATCTCCTGCTGTGGACCTTCTGAGGCTGAACACCCCACGAGATTCAAAAACCGCTTTTTAAACCCTTAAAAGGTACGACGAACACCACCGTCCTTTTTATATAGGAGTTCCGGATTCTCGCCTTCCCCCCCACCCAGCATATGTTTCTGTAAATATTTTACACTTGCTTACAAGTCGAGCTTGGAGAGTCATTTGGAGCGCGAGTTTTCCCGAGGCTCCATTTCGCCGCTCTCTGGAGTCGACTCCGGGGGAGAAGCGCAGGCCCCTTTCCCAAACAGCGGCTGGAAAGGGAGAGCTGTCTGAGGCCCCGTCCACACTATGTCTGAGGAATTTGAAAACGAGGTCCGGGTTTTCACTTTGAAAACGCATCAAATGTTTTCCGTTCACACTGCGCCGGAGAAATTTGATAACCTAACTATCACCGTCCATTTCCGATTTTTTCTTTTTAGGAAAACTGGGGAAGGGAAATCACGTGATTATCGTGACGATTATCGTTTTCCGTCAACACAAAAACGTAAAGCCGGCGTTATCACATTCCTTCGGTTTGAAGAGCGCTTTCGAAAAGCTCCGTTTTTGTGACGGATTAGTGTGGACAGTAGGCTTAGTAGGAGAAACAAAGCTGCGTTTTAAATTTCTCCGATGTAATGATCAGTATTTTTTCCTTGTCCCATCCTCTTTCGCGTCACAATCGTCCGACAAAGAAACAAGAGGCTACTAGTACAAAAACAAAACTATAACAAAATTTTTCTGTATTTTATTGTAAAAGAAAATATCAAGTAGAAGAGTTTTATTACAAGTAAGCTCTAAATTGACAGCTCCTAAATTTCTCATAACGGCTGCATAAATATACAGAGCTTTAAGCTTGATGCGTTCAAAAAATTATTAAATTTACTGTAATTCTATAGCCAACTTAGTCTTTAAAGCCTCACTTGAATTGAGACACGTGACAGATACAGCGCATAAATGTTCATCACGAAAGACCGTTACAGTCACGTTGGTCACGCAAAACAAAGTGCAAATTTCATTCCCGAAGACCTTGCTATAGCACAAGGAAATCTTTCAGTAAAGTTTGTCTTCTCTTCTCTGCTATGTCCATTTGATTTTCAAAGTCCTAGGAAACAAGAATACGACGAGATCACCCCTGGAACAAAGACGATGACGTATTTTAACCCAACCTCGTCCTCAGGAATGTGAAAGCACTGACGCCGCATTTTGAAAATGTAGCTTAAACATTTTAAGTTCGCCGCTTGTAACTATTCTCAATCTTTCAAAATCTTAGCCATCCTCGTTTTTTTTTTTTGTTTTTTTTTTTTTTTCATTTATTATTACCTCGTCGGTGATATTCTACCCCAGTTAACTATTATATTTTTGAGGTTTAATTCCTTTGAAAGTTAGACTGACGGATCGTTATAACATACGGTTAACTCTTTCATTTCACTTTTTTCAGATCTTACACGCAATCATTTAGTCAAACATTTATGGTTTTCAGGACTCAGTTAGCCTTGTTCATTTTATTCAGACATACTTTCACTTCAAACTTCGATCAACAGGCAAATCGTTGTCCAACTTGCCCCGACAGGACAACTACGAAGTTTACCTCGAACGTTCCGTCTGGAAAAAGAACATACGTGTAATTCAACAATGTACAAAGTGCACGTTTAGTGGAGGTTATAACATTAAATGCAGTGTTTGAGTTTGACTGTGTTTTTTGGATACGTAAAATACTTACCCCTCTGCAATAAAGCTCGTCTCTTTCTAACTTCCAAGACAAATTTTCTATTTCCAGTTCCAGCTGTGCTTGCTGATATTCAAACTGCCGTAAACAAAAGAAAAGCACACAAGTTATAAAGCGTTTGCAAAGAAACTTTCTTCTTCGAGCTGAACCGTTAAGAGCCACCTTGAATTAGGACTCGGCCAACAGCGACAGAATTTAAAATGAAATTTACATTTTGTGTTCTTCGCGAAACCAAGGAACTCCTCCTATTCAACTAATACTTTTGCTATTGGATGAAACTTCAGCTTTTCTGGTAAAAATACTATTTTTGTTTTGTTTTGGGAGAGCAACTGAATGTCATGAAATTAGACACCAAAACATATCACGTTGTGTATAAGAAATCTTTAGTTACCAGTCTTTTTCTGTAGTCCTCCATGAAGTATGCATATGGATAGGTGTACATCAGTGTGTAGCGGCACTGAGGAGATAAACACGGTTATTGAGAGTGACTTTGTACAACAAAGTATCAACTCGACGACTCAAGTTAGCGAGGGTGTCCGTTGTCAAAAGGTTTGACCGTATCGAGTTCTAACCAATCAGAAAGAAGGCGCTTTTCAAGTAACCAATCACAAGTAAATCCAGTCCAGAGTTGGCTGACGTAAATTTTCGCGCGCTTTTCACCGGCTGCACGATTTTACATTACTTTCTGATTGAAGCATCACACAAATCTTGGCTGTAGTGATTGGCTGGCATTTTTAAATTTTCGCGCGCAAGTAACAACAAATCACACACGGACCTCTGTAAGAACTACGTCATCACTATGACAGTGTATATGCAATATTTTTAGACGACTATGGAGAACGCTAAAAGAGCCCTTCGTTTAATTACGCTATAAGAAAACTCCGTCCATGCTTACCTTTGCTAATAACTGCGCTGCATCTAGAAGATACTGCCAATCAATCCAAGTACCGATATTGTTGTTTACTTTTTCTTGTATCTTTTGATTGATTTTTCGCTTCGTCTCTTCCTCGCGTTTAAGACTGTCCGCATGGTTTTGCCACTAGAAAAAGAGAGAAATTTGACACGATCAAACTACTATTTTTTGTTTACTTGAGTGTTGAAACCTTTCTGTTAAGGTGATTCCCTAGTAAAAGAACCCGCCATAGACTTCCGATGAAACTTGGTATGCTGTTGTTACAGGACAAGATGTTAAAAACGTAGTAAAAAGAGGGTGTCACCGTGCTTGTTTTCACGCCACAATGCCTACAAATACGGTTATTTAGGTGACTTTTGGTAATCTCCGCGCGCAACAAATAAGCTCGATTATTTTTCAATGCAGCGTGTTATATCACACAGAGTTTGAGTTTCTTTGATTGTTTATTCATCTACGTCCCAAAAAACTGTCTTCAAATCCCCTGCATTTTTTTTATCCTTTAAGGGAAACATAATTTTGACATGCACGGTCGGGCCCGTTATGTCTCCCTCTGTAGTATTTATTTCATTTGCCGAAAAAGTAGCCACAGATTTCTGCTATTTTTTTTCTCAGTTATTGAGGATATTGTTCTTACTGAAATTATGAAATATAAAGTGGGGATCACCGTGCTCGTTTAAGAGAAAAAGAGCATTTATTTCGCTATCGAGCTTAGTTTGAGGGAAATCTCTCACGTTTTGTACGCGCACGCGCTCATGTGCGCGCGCTAATGACGCGAAAATCGTGCGCAGTAGGGATGCGCAATGCAATACTAAGGAATCACCTTAAATCTGACAGGACATGTGTAAGGCTACAAGGAAACATTGTCACGGAAACACAGTTTTCCAAATTTATTTCCCTAGCGCACAAACGGGGAAATATTTGCTACGGAAGTAAAATGTTTCTGACAAAATTTAAAAACAATTTTTGTTTTAACTGTTCAAGGAAACAAAATTCACTTCCGCGCCAAATTTGTTTACGCGCTCAAATGGGAAAACATTTCGGGAATCAAAATTCGTTTGCAGCATTGACTCTTGGTTTTATGGCGCGTTTAGAATGCCAAAAGTATTCCTAGGAATATTGCAAAGCTTGTTTGAAGTCCGGTCAATGGTCATTTAGCCAACTGTGAGCGGGTAAGCAGATTTTTACAAGACTAGAAAACAGTTTGCACTAAACATAGCAAGGGTTGATCTAATGAAAAGTAGCCCAGTATTTACACTTTCTTGAATATATCAAACACGAGAGACAGTGTTTCATCAGTATATCCAAACACCGAGAAAAGAGTTGAAAATACGACGCGTAGCGGAGTATTTTTGACAAAATTCGAGGTGTTTGGCCAGCCGATGAAACACTGTGTCGAGTGTTTGATATATCTTCTCACTCGAGACAAAACTAAGGAGTAAACGGAGAAGTAAAATCGTCAAAATCTATGCTAATTAAGACCGCGTATCGAAACTTCCCTCACGGTTGTGATTTTCTTTGTTTTAACTTAATGAACTATTAATAAGTTTGAGAGGGCGAAGTACATGTAAGGTGGGATTGAACAACCAGCTTCCGTGCGACAACTTGAAAGAAAATGCCACCCGTCGTACTTGGAGTTCAATTCCTTTTTCTAGAAACAGTCGTTATCTGATCACTGAACAAGACACATTTTCCAAATCTGAAGTAATCTTTTAACAAAATTCACTGATTTTGACCAGAGATTCCTTCGAGTTTCCATCTACTAAATTTTGTGACTTTTGCCCCTGACTTTTAGCAACGGTTCTCTCTCTTCTCAGACAGCGTCCACAATACGCCGCAGAAATTTGAAAACGCAGCTTTATTTCTAGTCCTACCTTCCACACTAATCCGTCACCACAACAAAGCTTTTCAAAAACGCTCTTCAAACCGGAGGAATTTGAAAACGTTTGAAAACGTGTGGACGGAAAACATCTTGAAAACGAAGCTTTTCGAAAACTAGTCTCCTTCGCAGCCGTTATTAGGGTCGTCACGCAACGCTCCTCCCCACTTAGTGGGGAGGAGCGTTGCGTGACGACCCTAATAACGGCTGCGAAGGAGACTATTCGAAAACCAGATGGCGTCACGATAATCACGTGATTTCCCTGACCGCGTTTTCCTCAAACACAAATCCAAAATGACCAGTGATTGTTGGGTTTTTTAATTCCTCCGGCGAAGTTAGGACTAGTCTGAATTTCAGCCGTCTCTTCCCTTTACCCCGAGGGGGGCGCGGGAGAAAGGGAAGAGAGGGCTGAAATCCAGACAAAGTTAGGACGGCAAACATTTGATTCGTTTTCAATGAGAAACCGTTTTCAAATTCTTGCGGCCTAGTGTGGGCGGTGCCACAGATAGCCAAACGCCTCTGAATATCATTGACTACTAACTGGCTGATATTTTACCCCCATCAAATATTTCCGCTCTCGCGGGATTGGTCTAAACGCGTCACGTGCCTGAACATTCTCCAGCTAAAATATATCCGAGGGATATTTCCCAATTTTCAAAATCGCGCGTGTTGCGAAAACTAAGGATAACAAACACAATAGCCTCCATTTGGCGCGAAAATATGCTCGGATATACGTCCTTGGACATCATCTGTCCCTCAAAGCTCACAGTTTTCCTCGAGCTACGCTCTCGGAAAACTGTATGCTTCTCGGAACAGATGATTTTCTGCGGACAAATATCCGAGCACGTTTTCGTGCCAACTGGAGGTTATTGTTTGAATATTTTACTTCTGAGTATCACATACCCTTTCAAAATAGAAAAGATATTTCTTTAGCGCTTCCCTAGCCTGTATACCAGCGGACTCATTAACTATGTTAGGATTGGATTTATATCGACTGCATTCATAATATTCTGATCCATGGTTCTTCCAGTCTCCACAACACATCCAGCAAAAATCTGCGGCCAAGAAACATACAGAGCATAAAATCAATAATATATATGGGTTATTGACAAGCTTGTTCAGTCCAGATATTGTTTTTTAAGTGTTTTTATTGTTGTTGTTGTTGTTTGTTTTTTTTTTTGTTTTGCGTGTTTATGGACCGAGACGGAGTCAAGGTCCATAAACACGCAAAAAAGAACGAGGCCAATATCTGGGCTATATATGAGGGTTTTTCAGCCGTTTTGGTCATAAATTTGGTATCGATATTAGCCATTTTGGTCGTAAATAGAGTATGGTTTTAGCACTCTAGTCTTAAATTGGGTATGTTTCTTAGAAAAAGCTACTTTTTCATCATTATCAATAAGACCGTCAACAAAAGCCCTTTATAACTGATGTTTAGGGCAACTGTGCCAGCTACAAAGATCATAAATAGGGTAGAAACAAATCGCATATTTTGGTCAAAAATAGTGTAAGGGTTTTGGGAAGAGGGCAGCACACCCTTACCCAACTTTTCTGGGAGTACCCCCCCCCCCTCCGGCCAATATCCAGCCATCTGGAATGAACAAGCTGAATCATTGAAGGGTTTACTATATGGCTTATAGTGAAATTTCTCTTGCGGGACAGCTGGTAGTCCCGAACAGACACGATAGCACCATCTTGGCCACTCAGGTAGTTAATCACAGTGCAGGATTTAGTACATCTTGCCCGCTGATGGAGCTAGCCATAAAATAAGATACCTTACACTGTAAAGAAATGTTACTGACAGTACTTGTCAAGCTTGAATGTTATAATGCACCAAGAAAGATATTTTATTAATCAGAGACACAGGAAAAAAAACTCTGAACTCTACCATCTGGATCTCATCTCGGAAATGAGTTGAATATAGCAGTGGCTATTCTTTATTAACTGCCAAGTTCTTGTTTGTGTGCAGTTACCAATAATTTGCACGATTAAGAGATTTACAGTGTAAAAAATAGTCTAGAATTTTGTGCCATTACATCGTTATCAATGTTGAACACAAAAACATTTAATTTCCAAAATTGTCCATTTCCTAATTTTAAAACAGGGCATTTCCCCAATGCAGTTTCAGAACAGCTTACTTCTGAATCATAAATTATTTCACAATTTACATGTAACACACAACGTATAAACAACGTACCGTGTTTACATTTGATACATTGCTGAAGAATAAATAAAAAACACAGAAGTTAGACGTGCAAAAGGAAACTAACCAAATTACCAGCAGTGGCAGATCTAGACCTTGAGCTAAGGAGGNTTCGAGGTTACGTGACACAATAGTTAATGAATAACTAGCCAGCGGCGGATCCAGACCTTGAGCTAGGGGGGCGGTTTTTTGCTTACCCTTTCGGCTTTTCTTCCTTCTTCAATTTTTTTTGGCCCAAAAGAAGGGAGGCCCGGGATCCTCGTACCCTCCCCTAGATCCGCCACTGATCAAAAAATTAAAGTAAAGGTAACAAAAGTAGCTCAAATTATAAACAATTAACTATTAATAATGAAAATAAATTTCTCTTACCATGTGATTACAACCACCATTCTTTTCAATACAGCTTCCACAATTTGGACACTAGGCAAAAAAAATTGCAGCTTAATAAAACCATTTGTTTCAGACCTGTATTTGTTGACTAGCCAAGAAATAATGTACAACTTCATATCATAATCAAACTGCAACCTGCATCTGTCAACTAGAACCTGTATATCATGTGCAAGTACAGCTTAGAAGAGGCTTGGTGGCTTCAAGATAGCACACTCAACTCCACACTGAGCGGTCTGGGTTGGAACCCTTGCCAGGGACATTGTGCTGTGTTCTTTGGGCAAGACACTTCACTCTCACAATGCCTCTAGCCACCGAGGCACGTATAAATGAGTGTCTGCAAAGTTAATGCTGGGGGTAACCCTGCAATGGACTAGCATCCTATCCGGAAGGTAGACATATTCCTATTCGCTTCATGCTACTGAAACCAGAAATAAGTGCGGCAGCCAGATGGGTTAATTGGCTCATGTGCAGAGTTGACCTTAACGCTTGATCTTTGCTGCATAATTTTTCCAACAGTTTTAAGATCCAATACTTACATCTTTTGTGTTAGCAGTAATATAATTAGCTGTCTCTGAGTCATCTTCACACTTTGTGAGCCATTTCTTAATTGTATAGCAATCTGTTGGAGCATGGTATTTTTCACCACACATAAAACTGTAAGAAACAAATTAACCAGAACAAAATGGAGTTACTGTAACCAAATACCTGAAGTGTCTCACTCACAAAATAGAATTCACATGGTATAAGCATGCTACATCTACTTTTTGCCTGGTACTTGAAATTTTACATTTAGCTAGTGCACTACATAAAATTACTTCTAATCAGCAGGGCCCAGTTGTTCAAAAGCCGATCAACACTAATCCGGGATTAAAAGTAAATCAAAGTTCTAATTTCTCTTAAATAAAAGTGTTTTCACTGTCCATGTTTCCTGGAATTTGACAATAGTCAAAGCCAAAATTGAAGCACAAAAAATTTAAACAGAAAACTTCACTGACAAGTTACAAAATTGAAATAAAAATATACGCTAATCCTGGATTAGCTTAATCGTGCTTTGAACAACCCAGCCCAGAGTTCTGAGTAAAATCTTAATGTTACCATGACTACAATGCATGTGCTATTTTCTGTGGTTTTTCTTTGAGACTAGATATGGTTTTGATTACCTCCAAGATAGAAAATTTCCCAATTTTAAAGTGCTGTAAAATTTATTAGCATTTCAATGTGCAGTTCTTAATTCTTAGTTCTTAGTTCTTAAATGTAGTGGTACTAGGTTTTTATATATATACTCACCAAAATACTGAATTGCAATTTGAACACCAAATTCTTTTTGCTTTAGGTTCCACTACTTTTACCAGGTAACCACAATCATTGCCCGGACACCATCTCATTAAAGGATGACACTAACAAGGAAAACACAAAAAAATAAGATTAACATCAAACAGTAAAATACCGGCTAATCTTATGTCCACTTTTTTTGACCTACATTTACATGTATGATGTATACATAGGAATTCATCTAGAAGTTTGGCCTGGACTGAATGAAGATCACTAGCCTCGCATGTCAGCTTCTTGTCTGGTATCGATACACTTGTGAAATTACCGTGAAACCCAGAAAACTATCAAGCACCAGAAATATTTATGGAATCTTCAAGTGCAGCAAGGGGAAAGCCATGAGAAAAACGAAACCACAAACAGCAACAAAGTAATTTGATTTGTGGTTTTGAGGTTTTCCTCGGTCTGTGTCCTGAACTTAATTGTGATTGGTCAGTATACAATAGACCTGTCAGAATCAAATCAGAGTGTTCACGGTTTTTTGACTGATGCACAGTATTTGTTTTAGTGGATACATGTATTTACTAATCAATCACATCATAAAATGATAAACAAAATTGTTAAATTCTGTTATTTTTCAACCATATGAAAAAACATACTTTACAGATTAACTGTAATTTGATCATTAAAAGAGCTTGATTTACCTTTACTTCATCATTGAAAAGAAATTGTCTATATTTTTCTAGCACAGGTCCATTTTTAAGTATTTTTAGGGCCATCTCTTCCCCAATTAAAAGATTACAGTTCATACACTCAATACCTGAAAGACAAAAGATAGTCTTCTAAAAATTGCACAACAAATTTAAAAAAAACTATTGATAACAAATCAAATCTCTGATCCCCAATGCTGTCACTCCAGCCCTGTCAAAATTTTTGTACTTAGTAGGCAGGATAACACCAAATCCAAGAATGGGATCTCTTTTACAATCAGGGGGTGAACTCCAGTGTGAAGTAGGTGCTTTAAAATAATTTACTATAGGTGACAAAATTGCTGGCTGCTGGAAGTGATAACAGTGGCGGTAGCTGATCCTGCTTGGAAGCAGCTTCTGTTGCACCTGCAATTACTGATTATAATATTTTTAGAATAGTACTAAGGCATTCTTGTGGATAGAATTAGCTATATATAGGATTGTCAAGAGCAGCAGGTTGATTCATTGACAATCACTGTCTACATGTACGTGCTTCGTGATCTCAGCTGGCTTCTGTGTCGAGCTATTCATCTGTTCCTTAGGAAAAAGATGGCAAAAACAGCCACCTATCCCAACAAAACAGCTGTGTTCATAAAAACTGTAATAGAAAATAGCCCAAGCAAAATACGGGAACTCATTGGTTAAAAATCGTGTTTCTATTTAACAATTAGATTATGAGCTCAAGATTTCTATCATGTGATAGTTGATGAGGTCGCAGCCTGAGTCAGCTATCACGCATAGAAATGAAGACCAAACAATCTATTTGTTTCAGTAGAAATTTACTAGTTGTTCAAACCTTTATCTAAATCCTCTTTACAGCACTTCAAAAATGCAAGGAAGCAGCTGTCATTTTGTCAACAGGTGCACACTGCTACCCTACTCACTATTTACAACAGAATAGATAGTGAGTAGCATAGCCAATCAGAGAACGGTATTTGTGATAGAACATTTAAATACTAAAACTCAATTGAAACACAGAACAAGCATGAGAGAATTTATATTTTGATGATCAAAGTAAAAAGAGATTTTTTTCTTTTTTCCATCACGGTATTTTCTAAAAGAAATAGAAAACATGTCCTCTGTATTTTTATCGAGTTACAGAAACACTTGTGTGAAACTTTGGGAGAACTTGAAAAAGTTGGGGAGACACTCTCCTGTCGGCTTGTGTTCCCGCACCATTTCTTGTTCTCCCAAACTTCTACTCATGCCTCTATAACTCAATAGAAAGTTGGACCATGTTTTCTATTTTTCAAGTAATGTTGTCTGTAATAATTATGAATACTTAACTACACATCTAAAATTTACAAACCAGATGATAAGCCAATCTTTAATTGGTTAACACAATACAACATCCAGCAATCGTCACAAAATGAATGGCCACAGGAAGCACTTGTTGTGTTAGACTTTGTACTACGCTGAAAGCACACTGGACAGTAGAATGATCTTGATGTCTGTAGAGTGGGACAGACAGACAGTACCATGTTAGATGTTAGTAAGCCATCATGACATGTTTTTACTATTCACCATCAAAGTGGGACAGGCAGTATGGTGTAACGATTAGTGCACTGGACTCCTGATAAAAAAGGCTGGGTTTTAACGCTGACACAATAATATTGTGCTGCATTCTTGGGCAGGACGCTTTGTTCTCACAGTTCCTCTCTTCACACAAGTTTATAAATGGGTATTAGCAAATTTAATGCTGGGGGGGAGCCCTGTGACATCCCATCTAGGGGAGGGGGGGTAGAAAAACTGATTCTTCAGAAGTAACCTTATGCAATGGAAACTGGGACAGGATCTGGCAAGATAGAACACTTGGTATGATGATAATCCTGATGATGATGATGCAGGCTTAACCTTACCAGCAAAGCATGGCACTTTTCCTCAAACATCGATTAAGAGGAGGAAAAATAATTTGAGAGCAAGGAGAAAGACATCTGTTAAATAATAAGTGTATTATCGCTTGTCTCACAATGTAGTCACTTGAGATGTAGATCGCGACATTTTGACTGCTTACTCCTAGTCTTCTTCTTGGGCAGGACACTTTGTTCTCACAGTTCCTTTCTTCAGGCAAGTTTATAAGTGGGTATTGGCAAATTTAATGCTGGGGGGAGCCCTGTGATTGACTAGCATCCCATCCAGGGGAGGGGGGGGGTAGAAAAACTGATTCTTCAGAAGTAACCTTATGCAATGGAGACTGGGACAAGATCTGGCAAGATAGAACACTCGGTATGATGATGATGATGATGATGATGATGATGATGATGATGATGATGATGATGATGATGATGATGATGATGATGATGATGATGATGATGATGATGATGATGATGATGATGATGATGATGCAGGCTTAACCTTACCAGCAAAGCATGGCACTTTTCCTCAAACATCGATTCAGAGGAGGAAAAATAATTTGAGAGCAAGGAGAAAGACGTGTTAAATAATAAGTGTATTATCGCTTGTCTCACAATGTAGTCACTTGAGATATAGATCGCGACGTTTTGATTGCTTACTGCTAGTCGTCTTCAGGCGATGAGGTCGACTGATTATAAGGCACCATTTATATCACAAAGATTGGCTGTGATTGGTGTATTTCGATCCTCCCATTGTTCCATTGTTCCAGTGAGTAGCTGTTCCCTCAGCGGTCTGCTGTTGTACCGTTTTCCTGTTGTTGTGTTATTTGATCGTGGGCATCTATGCTTCAGGAATTTCAATTCCACTATCCCTGTTCATGTTATTAGGGTGAAGTCTTATGTGGACTAAATGGTGCCATGTAATCATTCGACGTCATCGCCTGAAAAAGACTAGTAGTATGCAGTCAAAACGTCGCGATCTACATTTCAAGTGACTATATTGTGAAACAAACAATAATACACTTTGTTGGATCTACCATGATGAACAACAACCTTTTCTTCAACATCTGTTAAATACTTTCTTTTTTTCTTATTACAGTATATGGCTAGGTCAGTGAGTGAGCAAGATGCACCAAGTCCTGTGCTGTGACTGGCTACCTTAGCGGGCAACATGGCTACTCACTGTGTCCCATAAGAAACATTTCCCTGAAAGCTCTAACAATAAATCCTTTATTAACCAAGCTTGTTTGGTCAAAATGGCTAGATATTGGCCTTGTTGTGAATTTATGGCCATGCAAAAAGGAAATAGGCCATTATCCAGCCATTTTGACCTCACCCTTGGTCAATAACCCATAAAACATTATTATATACTTAATACTTACAGCTTGAACAACAGGTTTTTCTGGAATAATTCTTCCCTCGACAAGCAGCCCAACTGGATCAACTCGGTGCCTGTGAGATAAGACAATGTACTGGAGAATTCTTGACTTCAAGACTACATGTACATGTAGATGGCTTATGGGAAAACACTTAAATCTCTGTCTAGCTCCGGTAGCATGAAACATTACACTGGGGCATTACTGCTGCTGTCAGCTGACATGTCAGACTTCAGGTTTGAGTGTCGGCTGGATCACTGTGTCGTGTTCTCAATGGGCAGGACACTTTTGTCTCACAGTACTTTTCTCTACCCAGGCATTTATTAAATGGATACCAGTGAATTTATATAATTATTAATGCTGGAGGATTACTCTGCGATGGACTAGCATCCCAACCAGGGGGGAGTAGAAATACTCCTAGAAAATAATGCTACAGAAACTGGAAAAGTTCCAACAATATGAACCAAATAGCCTATTCAAACTAGTTTTTGCTTGATGTTGGGACCTTATTGAACACCCATCCCCTACTGNCCCCCCCCCTGATGGGTTGGTTCTTATGGGAAAAAATGGCTACACTCTTTAACCTACACCTCACAAGGAGTTCCCATTGGGAGAATTTGAAAATAGCACAGTCATAACAAAAAGTGACAGATCAAGCTCATTTCATGGAGTTTACCTATAAAAGTATTATTCAAAAAAAATTATATAAATTAGCATACATACATTGATTCACTATCATTGGTAGATAGCTTAAACATTACGCTGCTTGTTGTATAGAGTGAAAACGTTTCATTGTTTAATGTGCTTCGAGTTAATAATTAAACAATAAAAAAAAATCATCACCAGCTGGGCTGCACATAGTTCCGGTTTTAATTGTATTGACCAACGCAATGCACGTTTACCTTTCCAAGATCTTCTCTGTATTCCAGTCGTGTTGAATCAGCAGGATTCTGGCCACAGATTGCGATACCTTGAAAAACATTTAACAAATCATGACGCTCGTAAAACAAATTAAGATTTCTTAACGTTTACAACCGTGACGCTCTGGTTGTATTATCGAGAGCCAGTAAGGAATTACCAAAGTTTCAGCTGGTTCTTAGAGAGATCTCACCTTTATCTCTTGACAGATCTTAGCCACTAAAGAGTCGAATATTTCTTGAGCCTCACTAGAATCAATAATCACGAATTCAAAACTTTCAGGGTCTTCTTCTTTGTCTGAAGCCATTCCTTCATCCTCGTCCCCATATTTGTAGTAATAGTCGTCGTCATCTTCATCGTCATCATATTCGCTCGATTCAGGATCTAAGGAGTCCTGCGACTCTAGATCGACCGTAGACATCTTAAACCTTCGAAAACTCTACAGGAAACTATAAAAGCATGAATAAACTACTACTTTTAACCTCTGAAAACTCTCGTCTTCTTCATACTGTAAAGTGGTAGACGTAGACCAGAGCAGTTGTTAGGTTGATGTCATTGACCAAATTTGGCCATGTTGGCCAAATATAGAACTCGAGCAGACTGGTAACTACGTTAAGCCAAAAGCCGCCATATTTGATTATCTTGGCTGGAAATCCCAAGATTTCGAAGATTTCCAAACGTTTTAGCGCTTTCCTTGGCGTCTTCCCATGTTTTATAGATCAGTGAACCATGAGTTGACATTTGGTGTATTTCAGACGCCTGTACTACGTTTTACTTTTGTGCGTGAAGGAGAACGCCAGTGGAAACTTCATACTCCAAACGATGAGTTCTTTTACTGGGAAGTTTCGAGAGTATCCCACTATTTCAGCGGACAATTTCGAAAAAAAAAACCTTGACAGTTTGGCGTTCTTCCTTTCCCACTGCCATAAAGGTACGCTTTTTTTTTTTTCTTTTTTTTTTTTTATACAGTCATGGTATGGAAACCATCCTAGGATTAAAATTGCGAACCTGTAACTTGGAAAAAGTTGGCAGAAACTGTCAGACAGTATACAGTAAGTGTCAAAACTGTGGTCCAAAAAAATTATGAGGAGCCCAAAGATTCCTAACCATTAAATCCTGGGTGCGCAGCAGTTAAGCTTATATAAAAAAAAGTAAGTTTTTCCACTCGCCCAAAGGCAAAAGTTAGTCACCTGTGGCACTTGGACACTTCTAGAGCACAGCCCTGAGAGTCAGTGTTAAATTTGGAGATGACTCGCAAAATTCTGTTGACGAAGTACAGAAAGAACCGATTGCTCCACATTTGATAGGGTTTAGCAAAAGACAAATTTCCATTGTGACAACATTACTTTTTATTCTCTTTTTTTCTTTCTTTTGTACTATACATTGTAGATCATATGTCTGGATTGGACTCTGTTAATCTACACCACAGATTTATGTCCAGGCAGGTGCAGTCATACATATGTGTTTGTCACTTATAAATAAACTACAGTAAGAGCAAGGTGTGTTATGTACAGGCACCAATGTCAGAACTATATACAATGTACATGAACACCCCTCTCCCCACCCTGCTATTTACCTTTACCTTGCGTTACAGCTGCCCTCTTAAACGGAAAAAAAATGAGAGTGTCCATGTGTACAGGTAACTGTTGATTGTCCTGTTCAAGGCCACATGATTTTTCCTGGAATGTGTGAAAAATGACGTGATTGGTTCATCAATCAGTTACAGTTTAAAGTATAATGCTTGTAAATTCGTTGTCATGAACTTCATTGGTTGCGTTGACAAATATCTCAAGAGTTGACCATAGAGACCACAATGGAAAATTGTTACACATCGTGGGTGAGATTCAGATTAAGAATTTTGAAGTTTAAAGCCAGATTAACAGGGGTATAATGGTAACAAAATTTTTCCACAGGTGGTCTGTTTTTTTATGTGAACTTGCAAAGGTCATTGTCTGTCCCATAGATACATTACATGCAGACAGAAAGTTCCTTTGTTGTCTCAGCATCATTGTCACATCTCGTGTTGTGACAATGAAATGGTTTAATAAATGGATAATTTATACAAGAAACACAATTGTCAGCAACACATGGATGCTCTTTCTGAGTTTTCTCTTCGCTTTCAGGGATGGCCGACCGGTTAGCTCAGTGGTAGAGCACCGAACCAGCATGTGGGAGGTTGCGGCTTCAAACCCCAGCCGGACCAATACTCAGGGTCTTAAAATAATTGAGGAGAAGGTGCTGCCTTTGTAATGACATCTGCAAATGGTTAGACTTTCTAGTCTTCTGGGATTAAGATGATAAACCATAGGCCCTATCTCACAGCTCTTCACAATTAATTCTGTGGGACATGAAAGAACCCACACACTGATCGAAAAGAGAAGGGACATACCTGTAGTTCCCCGTGTGGTGGTCTGTCTCTCATCTGATGGCTAAATGCTCGGAGGTATTAGCTGCATAAGCTACTTTGAAATCTGAGGGTAAATAAAGAAATGTAATGTTACATAATATAAATGGCAGCTCTAACATAGGTTTACATTTAGGATTTTCAGCAGGGCTCTCTTTAACGACAGTAACACCTGTTGTGGCTGAGTGTACTTGATTTTTCCTTGATGTTACGGGTGAAACTGTCTGTTGTTGATAGAATTCACCCACAAAGTAACAAGTTTGCTATGGGTGTAGAGAACAAGGAAACATGAAATTTTGAGATTTAGTAAAGAGTTTACTCTGTATGTACTGTACAATGTATATGAACCAAACTAACAAATTCTGCCTTTATCTCTCCCCTTCTTCTTCTCTTTGAAGAATTCCTGAAATTTTCAACTTAGTATCCGAATACCTCCTTATAAATTTCCATTTTGGTCACTGAAGAATTCTCCCGATCCTCGACTGCTGGTTATATCTTATGCAATATCCCATGCTAGGGGAATCACCACTTCTTCTGTTGATAACAGTTTTACATTTTCTTTTCCTTTCAACAGCACAACTGTGTTTCTCTACTGTTCAGAAACAACAGAAAATTTGTTGATGTGCAACCCATCATACAGTCATCTCAAAAATTATATTGTTAGTACTATGATATTGGTTCTTGTGATATTAATATAGTTGGTCTGTTTTTGTTATAAAGTTTTGAGTTTGCTTTAAATGTAAGGGAAACAAGACAGTAGAAACTGGTAAGGTGAATCTTTTGCTTTTAATTAATGCTCTAAGTCTCACGACTAAGTGAGAATTCTGATAGACAGAGCTTGACCTTTTACTATAATAATTATACAATCTAAGTTGTAGTGTTACTGACAGACTGCCGGCAGGGAAACCTCACAGAATATACTGGGGGATTACAGCTGTACTTGTGATGAGCAGCATGTAGTTAGCACATTACCACACAGCAAAAATCAAAATACAAAACAGACTTCAAATGGCACCTAACCTTGTACCATATAGTGTCAATAAAAAATTAATTTTATGTTTTCTCTCATAATTTTAGCGCAGTATACCACTGGAGCAGCAAACCATTATTCCACTTCTTGATGACAAGACAGATAAAGTAGAGCAAGAGTTTTGCTGAGTTCCATGCCCATGCGTTTTAATGTCAGACTTAAACTTATTAAGAAATAGAAAAAAATTTCATGTTTCTCTAGAGTTGTAAAAACATGAGTGGCAGTTTGTGAGAACTTAGAAATCCTATGGGAACACAACTACAGGCAAGTTCTTCTGCAGCATATTTTGAGTTCTCAACATAAGCTTCCATGAGTGTTTCAACTTGATTTTTTTTTTCTTTTCAATTTTCTCAAAATCTAATTATATACGTGTAGTTTGCTTGGTCATCATCATTTATGTCAACAGCTTGTGCCAGTTCTTTGCTTCTGTTAATTGAAATTAAGACAAATTCTGCTCCTTTTAACATGCACTTTACAGTGTGTTTTCTAAGTTTCCCCTACCTTGTACTTTACTGTAGTTGATAACATTCCTTTTCTCTGCAACCTGTCAGTTTGATTTTTTTTTTTTTTTGAGTTATTTATTGTTGTGTAATTTCCACAGCAAAGTTGTGTTTGTGTAACACTGTTGCCTGCAGGACACTGTGTTGGATCTGTCATGTGAGTATGTACTGTACTGTAATGTACATATCAGGAACAATGAGAAATATAGCATACAATGCAGTCGAGTGGAACCTAAGGGAGCAATGACAACTGCAATGTCACAAAACAAAATGGTCTAATACTGCACAAATTCAGCAAATTATGCTCTATATAACTCAAATTTAGGCTTTTAGTCAGATGGACATGGACTGAATGCTGAAAAAGCTCTTCATACAGGAATGCTTGCTACACAGGCCAAATTGCTCACTTTTAAAGAATTTGTTTCCATGTTACATTATAAATTCTTCATTTGAGCAGACCCTATATAGCACATTTTGGATGCCCACTTAATTCAAATCCTGG